CGCTCGGGGACGAGAGGCTGAGGCTCTGTCCCACAACAACCGCGCAACCCCAGACCGGTGACTTGACGTCTCCGAGCAGCGATTTCTCACCTGCAAAATGGGAACATGGGTTGCCCCCCCACCGGGCTCCTATCCGAATTAAGGTACAAATGCTTAGCCTGGAGTCCACCTGCGTTTCTCAGCAGGTTGAGTCTTGCCTATCGTGAAATAAGACCGACGAGCCGGGCTCGGTGGCTCAGCCTGTAATCCCAGCACTTTGGGAGGCTGAGGTGAGTGGATGGCCTGAGCCCGCGGGTTCGAGACCCGCCTGGGCAACTTGGCGAGACCTCATCTCTACAATAAAATCAAAGATTAGCCGGGCGGGGTAGCGCGCGCCTGTAGTTCCAGCTACTCGGAAGACGGAGGCGGAAGGATCGCCGGAGCCCGGCAGGTCGAGGCTGCGGTGGCCGGGAGCGGCTGCTGCACTCCAGTCTGGGCGACAGAGTGAGACTCCGACTCAAAAAATAAATAAATAAATAAATAAATAAATAAATAATAATAATACTGACAAAAACAGGCAACTGCCAAGCGCTCTCCTAAGTGTTTTACACGCATCAAGTGATTTGTCCTCATAACGGTCCTGTGAGATGTTACTTATTATCCCCATTTTACAGATAAGTAAACTGACTCTGAGGTTAAACCTAGGCAACCAAGCTCCCTAGCCTGTATCTTTAACCACTATCCTTATGCATCGACTATTTAATAATATAATTAATATGATAATAGCTCAACTTCTGTAGCAAGATCGCCACAGACAAAGCTACAGTTACAGCTAATGCTTCCCGAGGGCTTGCTGGGGCCAGGCCAAGGCAACCGCTAAACAGGTCTTGTCTGTGAGGCAAGGATTTAACAGGAGAGAAAATGGAGATTCTGAAAGGCAAGGTCACAGAGAGTGGCAAGACTAGATCTAAACCCGGGCTTGGCTGATGACACATCTTTCCGCGATGACTAATCCAGAGTCCCTTCTCGCCACACCCCTCCCTGCCAGACTGAGCAACTTCCTTTCTCTACCCTCTCCCCAGGCTCATTTGCTGCCAGGACTTTGCATGGGCTTGGCCCTCTCCCTGGAACTTTCCTTCTGCCTTTTGATGGCCTGGTTGTGTGGCTACTCAAGCTTTGGGGGTTGGCTCCCGAGTCACTTCTTTTGGGAAGCCTTCCCGGTCTCTACCCCCACTTGAGAAGAGGTGAGACTTCCAGTTCCACGCCCTCAAAGTGACTCCTGCTTTCTCATAGACTCACTGTTGATTGTAATCATATTGTCATCTAGTTCTGTCTCCCTGACCTCTTGATTCTGGCCAGCCCCCAAGTCTTAGGTCACGGGTCTCCTCTTTGTATCACTCATGCCCTACAGTTCCTCCCCTACATGCATAAGCTTTAATTGCATCTCTAGGCCAACACCCACATTTCTATCTTCAGGCGGGACACCTTGCCTGAATTCCAGGCTCCTACATTCTGCAACCTCTTCACCGTCTCCATGGGAAAGGGTGGAGGATGTTAGAGCCATTTCAGGCTTTACACATCCTAAACTGAACGTCTGACTTTTCTTCCGAACCTGCTCCCTCACCACCTTCCCCACCTAGGTCCGTGGCAGCTCTGTCCTTCCAGTGACTGAGACCAACCAAGGGTCTCCCTTAACCTTTCTTTCCTTCAAACCCACCCCAACAGTCAGCAGATCTTGCTGGCTTCACCTACAGAATCTAAACTCTGCCCCTTCCAGTGCCCTCACTCTGCTCCAGCCTTCATCCCCGCCCACTGGGATATCCCAGCAGCCTCCTCCCTGGTCTCCCGGTTCCCCGCCCCCTACAGTCTTTTCCCCAAACATAGTGGGAGCCTGTGAACACCTGGGTTGTCAGAGCCCCCCTGGCTCAGAGCCCTGCCCTGGCTACGCTTCATTCCAAAAAAGTCCAAAGTTCTCACCACGAAGTCCCTAGTGATCTGTCCACCTTTCTGGCCATCATCTCAACCTTGAGAAAGTGAGGAGCCCTAATGGCAGTGTTACCTGGGTGTTCCCAGCTCAACACATTTAACCTAGGAAGGCTGGATTTGTAGCTCACACTTTTTTTTTTTTTTTTTGAGTTGGAGTGTCACTGTCACCCAGGCTGGAGTGCAATGGCTGCTCCAGGCCACCACAGCCTCGACCTGCTGGGCTCCGGCGATCCTTCTGCCTCAGCCTTCTGAGTAACTGGAACTACAGGCCACACCCCTCCCTGCCAGACTGAGCAACTTCCTTTCTCTACCCTCTCCCCAGGCTCATTTGCTGCTACCACGTCCGGCTCATTTTGATTTATTGTAGAGATGAGGTCTCGCCAAGTTGCCAGGAGGGTCTTGAACCCGTGGGCTCAGGCAATCCACTCACCTCAGCCTCCCAAAGTGCTGGGATTACAGGCTGAGCCACCAAGCTCGGCTTCACTTTTAATTCTCATAATCTGCTGCCTCCATGACATTAATCTTTTTTTTTGAGTTGGAGTCTCACTCTGTCACCCAGACTGGAGTGCAGTGGCCGCTTCCGGCCACCGCAGCCTCAACCAGCTGGGCTCCAGCAATCCTGCCTCAGCCTTCCCAGTAGCTGGAATTACTGGCATGCGCTACCACGCCTGGCTGATTTTTTGATTTACTGTAGAGATGAGGTCTCGCCCGCCCAGGCGGGTCTCAAACCCGCGGGCTCAGGCAATCCACTCACCTCAGCCTCCCAAAGGCGTGGGATTACAGGCTGAGCCACCGAGCCATGACATTAATCTTAAAGTGGCATCAATGCATAACTCAAGAGTCATACCTTCCCTAGTTAATGCCACCTGAGGGCTCCATAGGACCAAGCTGGAGTGACTGCTTTATAGGCAAGGCTTGCCAAGGCCTCTTGTAACCCTTAGAGAAAGGAACTAACATGAGAGGAAGTAACAGTTTAGAGGGGTGGCGTCACTTGCCTGAGGCCACACATTTCTATCTTCAGGCGGGACACCTTGCCTGAATTCAAGCATGGCTGATGCCAAATTGTTATGTGATGACTAACACAGATACCTATTACACCCCCGCCCTCTCTTCAGCAGGTCTGAGCCACTTTTGTGCCCTTTCTGCTCACCAGGCTCCCTTGCTGCGAGGTTCTTGTGTAGCCTCTGATGCTGTAGGATCACCCCTCCTACTGTTTTTGCTTTGGGGTCAATCACTTGGCAAAGATTATTTGCTTGGCCAAACTTTAGTCAGGCTCCTGAGACTTTTTTTTGAGTTGGAGTCTCTCACTCTGTCACCCAGACTGGAGTGGCTGCTCCCGGCCACCGCAGCCTCGACCTGCTGGGCTCCAGCGATCCTTCCGCCTCAGCCTTCCGAGTAGCTGGAATTACAGGTGCGCGCTACCACGCCTGCCTGATTTTTTTTTTTTGTTTATTGTAGAGATGAGGTCTCGCTGCCCAGGCAGGTCTCGAACCCGCGGACTCAGGCAATCCACTCACCTCAGCCTCCCAAAGGCGCGGGATGACAGGCTGAGCCACCGAGCCCGGCGAAGTGTGTGCTTTCATGGTTGCACAGCGAATCTTCCTCATCCTTCCAAATCATGTTTTAGATGGCTTCCCTCTGGAGGGTAATTCTTGATAATTCTCTCCTTGCCTGGTGGCCCCAGATAAATCAGGCACCTTCTCTGGCCTCTCACATACTCCTGTGCTCCCCCAGCCCAGCCCTGATCGTTTGGTTGTTCAGTATACTGTGCATTTATGTGTTTTGCTCTTTCTGTAGGCATGTTATTTTTCACAGTGAAAAATGTTTAAAATATCTAGTCATGCTTGCTCATTTGTATAATATATAGCAAAATATTTTATAAAAGAAAAAAATTTACTCACTTATCAGAGACAACGTCTATTTATTATATTTCCCTTCTGACTTTTTCCTGGGAATAGTTATAGATTCGTACCATACCGT